GAGAGCAATATTCATTTACTCTCAGGGTGTAGTTCTCTTTGAACTGTGAGCTGTTCTTAAAGTAAATAAAAGTTCCATCCCATTGGACTCGACACAAATGTGTAAAAAAAAAAAGGGAAATGCTTGCACAAAACTTCTCTGTTAGAACAGAAACAGCAGCCCATTTCCTCCTAATATGCAGCTAATATACATCACTATAACTATTATACTAACTGCCTAGTTGATATAATGAAATTATGAAATAGATGAAATCTATTCTATCCATAAATGAAACCATATTAACTTACATGTCTTAACATATAAAACATTTGCAGTCACTTTCATACTAACAGCTGCAGGATCATGAGCTTTTTGTTCACAGCATGGCTGTAAAGGTCTGAGACTAAAAGACTGTGTTTCCGTGGGAGGCTTAAATTTACTGAACTTGACATCAGCAAAGGCCCTGTAAATTAAAATTTGAACAAAATACTGTTCTAATGAAATGCCATCTTCTGTCAAATGAGTGCTGTTCACTAAGACTTTACTAAGAATATTCCAGAGTCAAACAAGAACATAAAAATGTGCTGCAGGGCCATGCCATAGTCCTGCAAACGCTTGAGTTTTTCCCAGTCTAGCACTCCCAAATGTATTTTTTATGTCCCCCAGGATTTATACTGAGTAGGGACTAAAGTTAAAGATTAATGCCCTTTGACATAATCTTCCCAAAATAAGACTGGTTTCCTATCTCTACATATTAACAGGGTGAGGGGGGAACCAGCAGTGTATACATTTAAAAAAAATCATGTATAAACATAAACTGCTGGAATTCGAACATATTTCAGATATGACTCTATGCCCTTGCACTTGGTAACCAGGCACTCCACTTACAAATTAAATCAGAGCTGCTTAATAGCTGGTAAAAGCCTGGTATTTTCTGTCCCACTTGAATCATTCTGGACAGGAAGCAAGAAATCAGACTGTTGGTATGCAGTAAAATCACCTAAATAGAAGTGGCAGGATAATGAGAAATTAAATCTCCTACTAAAAATCTGTCACAATTATGAAGCTGACACTGGTTAAGCATGTTTGGGAACATTAAAAATCCCAATTATAGTACATAAAGGATAAATATAAAATAATTCCTTGAATGTCTGTTGTCCAATTCCTGTGTTTGGATAACTGAATGACTGAAAAACAAATCCAGCAATGAAGAAAAAAACATCTGTAACTAGCTAAAAGTGAACTGCATTAGAGCACATCGAAAAAAGGTTACAAGGAGGGATTAAACAGATACTTAAGCATAAAGTATGGAAGGCATAACCAGCTCTGAAGCCTGAAACTGCAGGAATAGAGGCAACACAGAAAGGCAAAACTGGCAGGAAAGCAAAGAAAGACAAGGAACTGGAAAGAGAAAATGGATACTTAAGAAGCAGCAGAATGTGAAATGAACCAGGGAAATTGCAGTATATTCACTTTTTTCATGGCAAGTAAAATCATATTTTAAGAATCATTAAGTTCCAAAAGCTACAGAGACAGGCTCTGCCACTTGTTCTAACACACAGGGTAGTTAAAAAAAAACAACCTCCTTGAAAAAAAGGAGGAAACTAAAGGAAATGGAACTATTTCACATCTTTCTGATGCTGAAATAAATGTATCTGAAAACTTGTTACTTTGAAAGTAAAGATTCTGCATGTGCAGTGTTTTGTCCTTTTCCTACAGCTGTCATGATTTTAGATTAGGTTTCAAAAGGTGACAAACTCCTGGAAGGATTTTTCACACTTTAAAATGCCATTTGGATTTCAGTGCACAGTCAGGAAACCAGGTCACCAGGAGGTAAAATGCCTGTTTGTCACAGTTTGGTTTGATGTATTACATGGTCCAAAATTGCTTAAAGGTTTTCGCACCTTAAAGATAAATCAATACTAGTAATCAAGTTCCTCTAGTCTAGCCAAATGAAATAATGATGGCAACAGGTAAAGTACACTGTAAAACATAATTAGCTTTACATAAAAATGCTAATTTTATCACCGTCTTCTCCTTCTCCCATATATAATTGTGAGCAATGAAAGTGGAAAAAACCCCAGTTTCTTTCCAAAATCTTGTAATTTAATAATCTCAACAGGCAAAAGTTTGATACGCAATTCTGTTTGTGGAAAAAAAGCCACTACCACCACCAAAAAACCCCAAACCAAACTAAAACAAAATCAAATACCTTCAGAAATAGTACTACTGTTTTTCAATATACTACTTGTAACAACAATAAATCACGTTTTTATTGTAAATGTGTGACAGTGAGCAGTGCCTGTTCAAAGTATCAAGACAGTAATGAGTTTTCAGATGGAAAACAAGGTAATCTTCAATATCAGAATTAAAAGTGGGTTCATTTACACAATTAGATTTGTTTTAAAAGCAACAGGCTAATCCTTTGGAAAAGCTTGTAAAATGTGGATCCTGAAACAGAAGTACAGCTGGTCAGAACAGACCAATGTGCTCCACCCAGTTCAAACTTCATTCAGGTAACTCCTGTCTTAATTAAAAAGTCTTCCCTAAAATGACATCAGATGTAATTTCAGGAAAACATGTTTTCCCAGATTTTCAAATACTTACAAAGGGCACTATCTTTAAAAAATCTTCTTCCCTGACTACATTTATGACAGTTTTGCTTACCTTTAAAAATAACAGAAACGATAGGATCTGGTTTCCCAAACTTGGTTTTAGGGATATTGGTAGCAGATTCCACAATCACCCGAAGCATTGTTTCCTGTCTTTGCCTAAATGTTGACTACTACCGAAGGAATTAAATCTTCAGTTTCACAGTCCTTAACTTCTGGACTGAAATGCTAGCAGGAAGAGGAGGCAGGGAATTACTGGTTTACAGCAAAGGAGGTCTATGGGTGGATCTATGACGGACTAGCTACTCAAAGCTCTGGGAAAAAAAGAGTCCTGTAAATTGACACCAGGTTCTGTCTTGCTGCTCAGAGAGAGCTCTCGCTATTGAAATCCTCTAACAGAAAGGGCACGCTGCAAAAACTCGGATTTATTGTTGCTGCTTTTATTATGCATGATAAATCTCTCGTCAGATACCAAGGCAAGAATAAGCATTAAGCAACATGAACATTAAGCACGACTCTAAAACTCGAGCTAAACCACATCTGCCTCTCGGTATACAAAGGCATGAAATTTCACGATGGCTTTTATTTTTTCCCCCTAAATTTTAGAACTTCATTGTTCGCAAATGCTTTTAGTTTGTCTCCGTGCCAGCATAGTTACAAACTGGCGATGATCCCAAAAAACACAGTATAAGTCCTCCCCCTCCTGTTGTATTCTGGAACGACACTACAGCTTCCCCACGCAACATCTCGGATATAGTAGATTTCTTGAGGAATTCTTGAAATATGTATCCACAACTAAAATTTTAGAAGTATTAAGGGAATGCGGGCAAAAAAAAAATAATTAAAAGTGCCAAGACCCTCTGTATTTTTTGCAGGTATATGAATGTTTTGTCTTAACACAAACACGTGCACCAACACTCCGGTAACATGAAGCAGGTAACACTTACATGTCAAGCACAGGAGCGCTGAGCTCCTCCGTGCCCAGCGTTAGTTTTTCTCAGCTGTGAACAGATGAAAAAACCCGAGAGGTTCACGCGGCCACTGCCACACGTGTCCCCAAGGAGGGAGGAGAGAAGCCAGCAAGATGGAGCAAAATGAGTCACAAGTGTGAGAAATGTGATTCGTGCTAATTAAATTGTAACTGTATTAGCAAAATTGTATTTAGATCAATAGAAGACAATTGTTACAGAGTGAGGGGGGAGAGGAGTGAGACAGGGCAAAGGACATCTTCCAGATGTTGCCAGTCGAAGAAAGATGTTGGAAGGGAGTCGAACAAGGATGTTGGAAGGGAATAGTAGAAGGACGTAGATCTGATATGTAGCATCGAGAAATAGAGTTTCAACCTTGAAATGGGCCAAAATGGGACGATTCCAGGCATGGAATTTAATAAAAGTCTTATTACATCTGCTCAGTCACATAGTGCGATGAGCCTTCATCGGAAGTAGTATCCTCAAAAGAATGAGAGACCCCAAACCCATTAGTAGAGCATGCGCCATACAACATAGTAACGTAGATTTTAGGACTAGAAAGTAGGAGGAGTTTTCCAGAAAGTTCTGCATGAATATATACTAGCACATAGTATGTAAGTAGGATTTTTTGGCCTTGATGCTTTGGTACGTGAGGAGAGGCGAGTCCGTCCCCGCATTCCCGGTCGGAGTGGGAGCCCCTCCCCGGTCGGTTTTGCTTATGCTTTATGCGAGCCTCAATTATACTAAATTACTTACTGCCAAATTTTGTATATTCTCAAATATATGCACTTTGATTGTATTAATCTCCAATACTTTAATTGCATTTATAATTGTTACTACTAAAAATTCGCTGCTACATTTAATCTTGTTGCTTGATAAATTGGAAAAATAGAACATCATAACACAAGTGAGCGCAGTCCAGCCTAGTGGTCGAATGACGCCTATGCTAGCTTACTTTGTAATTTGTAAAACTATTAGATTTGGGGTAGATGGAGGAACGAGGACACAGACACGGAAGAGACAGCACTGAGCAGGCCCTGCAGACCCGTCCCAAGCACCCGGGCGCACCGCACCGCTCCGCCCTCCCGCGCCCCGCTGCTGGCCAAGCGCTGCCGCTCACCCCCGGCTGGGAGCCCCGCGTAGGCACGGCACCGCCCGGGCGGTGACACCAGGGGGCGGCGACACGAGGGGACACCGCCCCTGCCGCCACCGCCCCGCGGGGACCATCCGGAAACCCCGGAAGTGACGGCCCGGAGCCGCGGGATTCAAACTCCCGGAAGCGGCACGGGCCGGGGCCGGACGGAGCCGCCGCCGGGCCGTGTCCCGCACCGGACACCGTGTCTCCGCACCGGACACCGTGTCTCCGCACCGGACACCGTGTCTCCGCACCGTGTCCTCGCACCGGACCGTGTCCCGCTCCGGGCCGTGTCCCGCTCCGGGCCGTGTCCCCGCACCGTGGCTCGCGGCCCTCCGGCCCCTCTGAGCCCCGCGGGATCGGGGAAGGCCCGCGCAGCCTGCGCTCGACTCCAGCTGTCGGAAGCGTCGTCCTGCCCGCTAGAAGGGATCGCTGGTCCGTAGCTCCTCGTTTGATTTGTACAGGCGCCTAAAGATGAACGCCAAGACCGCCATAGGTCGAATTATTGGCAAGGGGAGCCTAAAGTCGGACAACTCCAGAGCTGACAGTGGGCTCGAGAAGGGGAAGGTGGAGAGCGCTGCCCCGCGGAAATCCATGGAGGAAGTGGTCACAGGCAAAGGCAAAATGACGGACCCGGAGAGGAGCGGGCTCCTCCAGGTGAGCTGGGCTCTCCCCGTGTCCCATGGATACGGCACTCGGCCTCGGGAACAGGAGCCCCACGTTTCCTTTTGATGTCACGACTAGTTTAGTAGTGTTAGACAGTTTAGACAAACTTTTAGTTTCACACTCATTCTCAGATATTTTTCAATGACAGCTGAGCTAATAAAATCGCATTCATCTGACAAGGCTGGTAAATACAAAGACTTCAGGCCAGAAGTGCCAGTTAATCCATTAAGACCTGTCCTCATGTGTTCAATAGAACACATCTCAGAGAAGTATTTTAAGCACTTCCTGCAAAGAACTTTACGTTTGCAAACATTTGATTAAGAACATGCCAAAAAGTGCAGTGTTTGTTTGAATTGAATTGTCAAACTTCCATTTAGCTATAGGTAAATTAAACTGTAATTGGGTTGCTATGTTATTCTTCCATTGCAGCTAAAGAGCAGAAACTAAAACACTGCAAGGTATTGAAGCATCTGTATGTCTGTATGACTGTTCCACTTGAGGTAAACCTGTGGTTGCAAAGACAGATGTTCAAGACTTCATAGGTGACCTAGTCACAAGCTGTCACTCTTCCCAGAAGGATGGGGAAACTTTAGATAGTCTCTAGAAAAGGATACAACTAATGTAGATTAGGCATACTAATATTTCCAGGTCACTTCTCTTTTTAACAAAAGGGCTTGTCATGTGTCTGTGCCACAACATCAATTGAAAAGTCCTAAGCCAAGGATGAGCTGTGGCTGGGCAGCTTATGCACAGTTTTGGCTAAATTCCTTAGTGTATCTGCTGAGTCTGTTGGTGTTTGCTGTTTGCTGGTATTGGTTACTTAATACTTTTCCTATAAACTAGGAAAAACAGGTGGAAAATCACTGTTGTGTCTGATATACCAGACACTCTTTGGTGTCACTGATTTTAGTGAGCAATGATGTTCAACTACTCCCTAAATGAGGCTGATTCAAATTCACTTTCTTTCAGTTTCTCTTTCTAATGACTTGATGTCAACATGCAGGATTTCAACATCAGCCTTTCTCAGCAGAATTAAATGCTCTCACATCTGAAGTTCATGCAGAGCCCCATGGCATCTTAAATGCAGTAATAATTCTGTCTAATGATTACCTGTGCTGGAGGCCTACTGGAAAAAGAGTGCGTGTTGAAAATATCTAGTAAAGCACATTTTGAAAATACAGGGCCAGATAATATGGAAAACAGGATCCTTCTCCTGAATGCTTTATTATAGCTCTTTTGTAATTCACTGTCATGAAGTTTGCAAGAAGGCTCTGTTGCTTCCCAGAAGCTACCAAATATACTAAGAAATGTACAAAGAAATGTAGCACCAACCTCTGTGCTGGAAGTGTTTTGGAGTTCTTGTACTGCTTTTGTTTTAAGGCTTATATGCTGTAGTGATCTTTATTCATATGCAAAACAGAGTACCTACCAAGCCTGTGAAAGTTGGTTCTTTGCATTCTCTTTGTTTCATCTATTTCAGACTGGTTTTACTATCACTTGAAATGTTTTAGATTATCACACCAGTATTATCTGCTTTGAGTTAAAAGTAATTTTCTCAGCTAATTAAAGGCTAAGAGACAATTTTGAAAGTGAGCATCATAGAATCATAAGGTCTTAGAACGGGTTGGGTAGGAAGAGACCTTAAAGATCACCTAGTTCTAACCCCTCTGCCATGGGCAGGGACACCTTCCACTAGACCATGCTGCTCAGATCATCTCAAACTGCTGTAACCATGCTAATGCATTTGGTGCATAGACTAACACTTACTATTTTTTATTCTGTTTCATTTAGAAAATACTTTCCCTTGAGAAGGAAAAAGAAAAATACAACCATCTTCTTGGAGAGAAGGACAGAGAAATCCAAAACCTGAAAGACAAGCTTAGGTCCAAAAGCAAGAATAATGAAGTCTCCTTACTGCAAAATCAGCTAGAGGAAAAAACAAAGGAAGCAGAAAGGAGAGAACGATTACTGTGTTCTCTATCAGAAGAAATTAACCGATTAAAATGTAATTTATCTTCAGTCATGGAAAAATGCTCTGATCTTGAGAACAAAGCCAGTAGTACTTCTCAGGCATCCCAGGTAAGCACTGAAGAAATACTGCAATTGGAATTGTGCCCAGTACACAACAATGCCTGTTATAAAATAGAATGTTTTTTTAATTTTCTTACAAGCTGTGTTGCATGCTGAAATATTCTTGTATGAAGCGAGATGGTATCCACATTGAATTCTAAATGAGGAACAGTCACAGAGCACACTTCAGGCAACACAACTGGGGAGGGAATTCTCTCCTGCTGTTTTGTAAGGTGCCCTGTTCAAGTTCACACACGGGTAGTGTGACTCGTGATACTACATGGGATGATCCACTGTTGCTTAGGCAAGCACTGTGCCCTTCTCAGACTTGTGTGCTCAGTGATTAGACACAGTGAGAAGGCAGCAGTGATAAGAGATGTGGGGCACTAATAAAGACACACTAAGCTCCTCACCTAATTCAGCTTCAGTCATGACAATATCTTTCTTCTCTCTGCTCTTAGGAATCCTCATTTGTGTCTCAGTTGTTAAAACTAATTTCTTTACTTGCTATGGCATCACACGTGGTAAATTCTTCAATGTGACACAGGATAGAACAGGAATAATGAGTTTCTCCTCTCATGTGAAGTGGTCAGGAGGTATGGTGCCTATCCTTGGCAGTGTTTACAAGTCCATTAAGGATTCTACAGTTGTTTTCCCCCCCTGCCCCGTTCTAATGTTCTTTGGAAAATGCAGTAATATCTCTATGGAGAGCATAGGGAAGTTGTTTAGGCACAGATGCCCAAAAATAGGTGGCAGTAAGTCTTTCTTTTCCAGCTTTTGACCTGCAGATGGTGCTGGTTCCCTGCACTCTGCAAGGGAGTTGAGCAATTTCTAGAAATTCTGCTATAGCCCAGATACATAGCAGAATATCTTCATCTACTACTTTTGAATGATAACATATGTATATACAGTACTTCTAATAATGCAGCTTATTGAGAAATGCCACTTTAAATGCAACGTATTTATTTTAAATTTTAAGACACTTTGAACTTCACTAGAGGTGTTAAAATGATTATATTAAGTCAACAGATTTTCATATTTTTGTCAATAAACCACCAAAAATATGTATTACTTTAAAACCACAGTTTTCTTTTAAATTTTTAACTGATTTATCAACAGAGGACAATGATGTTTTGACTGGATGTCTTGGAGAATTTGAAAACAAGTCTAGCAGTGCTGCTTGAAACTGCTAGGTGGCATAGGAGCTCTGAAATGGAAACAACAGTTTCATGACACAATTTTGGGAAAGTTTTTACTGAGGCAGGACTCTGATGTTCATAGAAACAAGTTCAGTGTCTGTGAATCCTATTTTTGTTAGGAAGTGTTTAAGTTTAATAATTGCATTCAAAGTTCTGTATTTTTCAGCCATAAATTCTGTTGTAAATAATGTTCCAAGAGCCATAGAAAAATGCTGGAAAAAATGTACTTTTGATTTGGGTAGTAATCTACACTTTTTTTTTCTCACTGAAGTTATCTCTGGCTTATACCTACACAATTTCATAACCACTTTGTATCATGCAGAGAAGATACATGTCAGAGTGGAAGAAATATGACTCTGTAATTGCTCTCCAGTTTCAAATGGGTCTCAAAAACTCTCCTATTCATACATGTACATAAGTCATGCTCACTGTGCTGGGGATCAGGTCACATAAAATGAGGCAGTTTGTCCTTATGCTTCCAGACAGCCCTGCATGACTTCCCAGATGTTTACAGTCTTCCTGTTCTCCCAGGGAAGCACCGAGGTCTCTGGCTTTGCCCAGCAACTCCTGTATGTCTGGGTCACTGTCAAATGGATGACGATACAAAAATAAAAGAAACATTTACCTCTCCTTGTCTACTTAAATTATACCCTTAAATATCTTCATTTTTCAAAAGCTCTTTGTGGAACACCCTTCAGGACATCCAATACAGCAGTTCAGCAGAAAATACATTATGGTTTCCTTAGGAAATATTTTAATGTAACTATGAGTTGCAGACTTACGGAATAAATTCCATGTAAATCTTTGTCCCATATTTTGCAGAAGAGTTTTTTTTAAATATATGAAATGGCTTTCTACATAACTTAGATCCTTCAAAAAAACTCCAGCAACCAACTATAAAGATCTTTAAACACAAAAGGCATTTATGTTTTTATTTTAAAAATACTCTTCTGCTATTTATGTGAGATAAATAGTTGTACAAGAGTAGCTTTGATGTTTCAGCCATCTATTTTCAACAACACTAACCAGTTGTTCTTTGTCCATAGGAAGCTGCAACAAACAGCACTGAAATTGAAAGACAATTGAAAGATGTAAGTTTCCTGTAAATTTCAAACACATACCATGTGTATTGAGATGCAGAAGAATGTAAATTATCATCATGTACATTTTTGTGTAGTATGGGACCTCAGGGGGTATGTTTCTCTCTAAAATATAAGCCCTAAAATTATTTTGTGACAGGGCAATAATTTAAATTTAAAAACCCAAAAACTTGCAAAAGAAAAAATTAAGATTTCCATCAACTTTGAGAAATCTTGTTTGGAACATCCAAACAAAGTGGTTGCTGACAAATGAGGAGCCTCTAGAAACCTGTCACTGCCTGGGATAGCATGAGGTTGGATCAGAAACCTCCTGAGGTCCCTTCTAAGCTGAATAAGCCTATGAGACAAGCAGCTAAAAAATCCATGTCCGTGTTCTTACAAACTAAATTGCAGTGATACAGTTTTATTTTATTCCGTTTTCAAAGTCCGTTATTTTATATTTTATTTTATATTTGAGATTGTAAAGTTAATTCTTCATAATCTAGGCATGACTCATGAAAGCCTTTGTTCTTTAAGTAATTTTCCCATTGCTGCAGTTTTAACTTATGCTCAGCATAAGTTGAATTAACTTTCCAAATGAAGATGGATTAATTTATTTATTGTACAGATTACTACAGTTTGCAACAGACTTAATTAGCTTATCTTTAAAGCGCCTAATATAGAACTTCTAATATTTTGAAGACATAAGACAAATAATTTTCAAAGCTGAATAATTACCAGAGACTTTTTTGTTGTTCTTCTGTTTCCTTTTATGAAGGCTCTTGAGAAAAACCAGCAGTGGCTACTGTATGACCAGCAACGGGAAGCATATGTCAGGGGATTGCTTGGAAGGATCTTTGAACTTGAACAGAAGGCAGAAATAGTTAACCAGCAAGAATCTAAATCAAATTCAGAAGGTATCAACTTTATTTTTACCCCCACAAGTGACCCAAGCCATAATTATCTATAGAATAAATTTTCTGAAAATGAATTATAGCACACTTAAAATCAAGGCTTTTTTGTCAACACTTTGGCTGCTTAATGGTAAAATTTGATTAAATAATATTTCTCTGCTTCCTTTTATATTACTTGTCCTATGTCACTTGACCAACAGTAGTACTTCCTGTTCTTATCCACTTCAAAGATGGTTTTTAACAGCCTTGACACTCTATTAGCAACCTCTCTGTTTGTGGAAAGTGTTGAGGCAAATAGATGTACATCTCCCATCCTTCAAAGTACACTTTCAGTCGACATAATGGAAGCATTAAGGATTTACTAGCTAGGTGTGGATCAGATTTTTTTTAATTTACTTTTTTCAAAATAAATATTATAAAAATGACTCAAGATTGCCATGTTCTTTACTCACCTGAGCAGTTGTTACAGGGCAAGAAAGCCTGTGATAGGTTTTGGCATCTCTCCAAAGCAGTGTTTCACAATAAGGATCTGGCCACCTCCAGCTCACTTCCTTGCTGTGCAGTTCCTCAATAAGGCACTCCCTCTCAAGTATTAATAAAATTAAAATCATATTGAGCAGAAGAACCAGAAGGTATTGACTTACTTTTCTTATTATCAACTTATTAATTTCATTGATGCTGCAACTGACCTGCAAGGTAAATTAACTAAACAGAACTGGCATTGTGTGAAGTATGAGCATACCCACAGCCTTGCCATTAGTAATTAATGGGCAGTGGCTTGGTTTCTGTATTGCTGTTTGAACCTTTCTGGAAAACAGTGAAATATCATCATAATCTTGTTTTGATGCTGTTCAGAAATCTATGAACAGTATTTTTAGAGGGAGGCAGACTCAGCTCACCAGGAAATGTACCCCAGAGTTACTGCAGTCAAAGGTTTGCCCCAAGAGCAGCCAGGAGACTTGAAGTCAGGGTGTAAGAAATTACACCTCTCTTCAAGCAGATAGGCAGCAGCAGAACCCCAAGTTTCTAAGAACCTAGCTATACAAGTTGAAAGTATACATGAAAACTTTTTCCAAGGAAAAACTTGGCCTATCTCTAAGGATGTCACTGCCCTATAAAGGAGTATTGCTAATGAAAAGGTGGGGCTTAGTTCATAGCTGAGGGAGTGGAGAGCAGTCAAGCAGGAAACTCTCCCTAATAAATTACACTTTGAAGAATTAGACTAAGTCTTCAATAGGAAAAGTATCAAAGTCATAAAACTTACAGTGCCAAAAATCAGCAAAGCCCATGGAATTCTGCATCCCTCATTCTGCTTCTAGATGTATTTTGTATTGCTCCTGGAATTTTGCAGTCTGCCTCTTAATTTTTTCCTCCTTAATATACTTTTCTTGGGTCAACAAACAGAAATCTTCTAACCCTGGTTTAAGTAATAGTTGCTACCCAAGAAGCAAGCATTTTTAATCAGAAGAACTATCCTAGTCCTTTCTATTTGCTATTTAGAAGTAAATTATGGCATATTATTTAGAAAAGATGGTCTGCAAAAAACACTGGAAGGTCTGACTTTGGTCAGCAAGGTTGAAGCAGAATCTGTCACATGCCCAAGGGTATCTCTGGGGAGGGAGTAAGGCCAGCAGCTTGGCTAAAGAGCCTAAAAGTGCAAGTAGGAATCCAGTGTCTTTGGATTCCCATGGGTCAGTATAATGCATGAGGCCTTAGAAGAACTGTGTTTTCCAGTAAGTATATTCGTAAGGAGACTTAATGTATTATAAACACTGAAAGCTGTTTCAACCAAAGTTCAGTTCTAATCTGAGCTGTGCAATAGCCTACCTTGTCAATTTGTATCAATAAGCCTTAAAATGCTGTTAAAGGTTTAGTGCTCTGATTTTTAAGTGGGTTTTTTTTTCACATTACTAATTCAATTATTTTTGACTCATTAAGGTCATCTACAAGAAGAAAAGCAAGAATACTATGACCAGATGTTACTAACTGCTAAGAGTGATCCTGTGACTGAAAGACGCACGATAACCCAGCTGAGATCTGAACTTGATGAACTTAAAAAGACATATGAAGAAACACAAGGGGAAATGATGAGTTTAAGTGCTTTACTGCAGTCACAACGGGTTGCTGAAATGAAGACTCAAGAAAATGAAAATAAAATGAAAGAAAAAGCACAAAGACTAAAACAAGAAAATGAAGCTATCAAAGAACAGCTCAGAGAAGAAAAAGAAAAGTCTGAAGATCTTTTATGTCAGGTATGTGGATGGATTTGGAGGTTTGAGATCATTAGCAAAGAATCAAGAGAGATTAAAATTCATAGTTAATCAGAATGGACCATCCCTCTCTCTCTGCTAATTTTTCTTCACATAGATGTGGACTCACATCCCTGTGGTTAAAACTGAATTGTTTAAACAAGAAACTTCTTTGTTCATTTATTTCCCTGGTCTTAAGGGACACAAAAGAGAAGGGAGAAAATATTAAGTTTATTCTAATATAGTTCATCCTTGAGATTGATAGTAAATGAGAACAAGAAAGCTAAAAATTCATTTTATCATGCGCTCCCAACTATGGAATACCACTAATATTTGCTGTCACCTGGCAGTTAAAATACAACTGATATTTGAAATAAGAGAATAAAATTTACTGGACACCAAAGTAGGCCAAAACCAGAACAACAGTTAAGCTCTCTAAAGATAGGCTGGTTCTCACTGGTTAATAATGATGAAAATATGTTTATTTTATTTTGTTTTTTGAAGCTGAACAACAGCATTATCATAAAAGTTGATACATGCTGAAAGCAGAGGATATTTTGATGCATGCATTTACTTTATTTATAGTACTTTCTGACCCTTAAACTTGTTCTCTTATATTAAAAAAAATTGCATTGTTTGTTTTTATGAAGATCATATCATGTGAGTGCAAATATAGGTTTTGTGAGTATATTGTTGTCAGCATTCTGGCAGTCACTTAGGAGGCTTCAGGTTTTGGTTTCTTTTTTTAACAATAACATCATCCTGCATTCCCCCTTTTCAGTGCAATAATAATTTTTCACTATATTTTTCCTTGGGGAAGTAGTGATTTGAATTAAGTTTGGCTCTTCCATAACAGGCATACATTTTCTGTTGGCATTGGAATGTAAGAGTTTGCTTCTATCTTATTATAAATGAATTCTTTTTAAGCTTATGAACTATTGTATATGGAAGTTGTTTGTTACAAGTGTTCATCTACCTTGAAGGTGCAACTTCTCCGTAAATCCCTGCTCAGACAGGAGGCAGAACACACAAGAATAACTTTGTTGGAACAACAGGTACGCAATTATGTGCTAAAGTGCTGATATTTAATCTCTGTTAGGCACAAAATCTTTCCAGACTAACTTCACATTTCAGAATGATTAGAATATTAAATAAAGTAATGCTAGGCATGTTTATTCAACTGTGCATAATCTCTCGATACTTTCAAAAATTTTGACACATCTGTCAGGATGTGTCAGGAGAAAATCTGTAACCTTGTACTGATAAGAGGGTATGATCAAACCTGATGCTGTTTTCTCCACAATCACTTGTTCAACAGGTAAAGCCTCAGATAAGGCACAGGAAACATCCTAAAAGTAATCACCTAATTAAATTTTTGTATTATATTTTTGATACTGTTACAGAAATAATTGCATTACCGAATTTTCTATTTTCTTAATTTGGAATTGAAACACCCTCCAACCAAAATAACTTTAAACTGCACCTCTGCTAAGGGAGATTTTAATAACAGAGTATGTGTGAATTTCACTATAATGAAAGCAACAGCAATTTTTAATTTTGCATTTAAATTTTCCTTTTAATCTCATTTTAAGATAGTATCACAGAGCAAATCTGACTTTAAATATGTAAGTAGGAAATATTCCTCCCAATTCGTACTAACTTTGACTTTAATTTTTCACTTTGTTGGGCTGCCAGATCCAGATATGCACCACAGACTTAGAGAATGGAAAGCTTGATCGCCAGAACTTGAAGCATGAGTTAAACCATGTTCTCAAGGAGCTGCGCAAGGCCAAGGAGAAAATAACTCGTCTGGAACCTCTGGTATGTACTGAATAACTTGCAGGTGAATTTAGTCAGGCATTTTGCATAAACATACATCTTCTTGCTTTGGGATCTTATTTCAAGCATTGAGTAAGTGTCCCTCCATCCTTTATGTCTGTTTCCCCAAGGTGCAGAGCCCTGTGCCAGGCAGGCAGGCAGTGCTTTTCTCTGCAGCAAGCATGGAGCAGGAGCACTGCAGCAGGAGCTCCAGAACAGTCAGGGTGCTGAGCAGGGAGCACTCTGTATTTGTATCACAGTGTGTGACCCAGGTTTGTCTGTTGCACCATGACAAAGCTGCAATGTGCTTCCACTCAGATTTGTTGCTGGTGAACAGGGCACAATCCTTAGTGCTGTAACACACCCAAGGCTTGTGTGCCATCAAGCCTTAATATATTTTTCTACAGTATTTGATCAGTGCATGTATGCCCCAGTGTTACAGTGAAGCTCCTCCTTTTCCAGAAACTCCGGGAACCTGGACATATGGAATCACAAGAAGATTTGCAAGCTGTATTTGACAAGAAGCTGACCACATATGACAGAAGTCCTCCCCTGAAACATTCCAGCTGCCTTGATGAAAGTTTTCTTGAGTGTCCCAAGTGTAAAGTGCCATATCCAACGAGCCAGCACAGAGAATTACTAGCACACATTGACTTCTGTACAGCTTGAGCTCCAAATGGACTTACTATATTAGCTTCATATATGCAGCCAATAAGCTTGGCAAAAGACCTTTTAAAGCTTTTTTCTTTCAGTTGAATAAACGACTGCTGATTTTATAATTCAGTTCCACAAAAACAGTATTAACATTATCATTTGGCCTCAGTATTTTACCTCATGTTTTTGCAAAACAGCTACTGCATTTTCTAGTTGCAAACAGAAATATTTTCAGAATTAGGAAGATTTTAAACAGTAAACTACTGACTTTTTCTTTTTGCACTATTAAATGTAAGGATAGTAAAAGCACAATTACTGTATCAGACTATATTTTAGTTTTGGCATACCCAATTCTTGGTTGTTGAATTCTGATGATTGTGCTTGTACCTTAACTGACAAGAATAGCTGCAAAATATTTTTGGCCCTCGTAGGTGCACTATATATAAATATTTATTTATACATGGTGTGTGTATATATGTGTAGTGTGTATAGTATATACATACACGTATTATATATCATATATATGTGGAATGTATCAACATCTTGATACATAAAAACTCAGGAGGGCCATGTTAGATCTTTGCTGCTTAAGATCGATGTTCAAAACATCGATCTTAAGGAGCTGATTATCCTGAACCACCATCAGGGGTAACTAAAATGCTGACCAAGGTTTAATCTCAGAAAAACCAACTTCCTAGCAAACATAAACTTCCTTGGTGCCAAAGAAAGTTTGTATTTCAGACAATGTCAGAGGCCATTTTTGAAACTTGGATATAGAATTATGCTGAATTAAACTTGTTTTGCATCTGTATTTTAGAGGTTTAAGTTGGGAAATGTCAGTTATTCAACCCTAGATCTGACAAATGTCCCAAAGTGCAGTTTTTAACAAATTGCTCTAGTGGGTTTGAAGTGTCACTGTATTTTGGTATTAACACAAAACAATGTATCAATACCAAAGTTAATGACAAAGTCTGGCAACAAATTAGAAACTGGCAAAAAAAAATCCCTAATGAATTTGCAATTGCAATGTTACTTTTCTCTAGCACCTACTGTAAACTTGAACGTGTTGTGAGCATTTTGTTCCTCGCATATATAGTGAAGTCCCAACAAGAAGTTACTTCTGTGGAATTTATTAAAATTAGGAAATTTTACAAAGATACACTAGTTAGGAATAAATTTGTGCATTTTACAAGTTTGTGGTTTGCTGAGGACACACAAGCACCCAAGGTGTATCTTTCTCTGGCCTGCTGATTCTGATTGCTAGCTGGTACCAGCTTTCTCCATCGTACTTTGCTGCAACGTGCTTTGTGCCTTTACCCCATAATGTTCACCTTAATCGCTGATGGTTAAATCTTATTCTTAAATATGAAGGTGTTTTCCAAGTTATTGAAAATAACTGATAGTATTAAGTGATGTTATGCTCAATTAAATCCAGTTCTCATAAGACAGAAAATATTAAAAGGTATTATCTTTATATCTGAAATATCTCTGCCAGATGTATTGTATTAGCCACTCTCTATCCACTTTTCAATTTCACTATGTCTCAGGCTACTCTTTGTATCTGACAATTTGCTCAATTGCTAGCAACAGGTTTTCTGACCAAAGATATGATAAACTAATGAGTAAAATAGAAATTGTGCTTCAGAATCTCAAGGTTTTGCCATGAGGGAAATTGTCTTAATTTCATATATTTTAAAAAATCTTATAGTTCAGGATAATAACTATGCTTTTCATTGCAGCCTAATAATTTTAATCTCTAATTAAATTACTTTTGAAAGTTTGTCTTTTAACACCTTTATCAGCTAGTATTCTATTCCCAGCTGCATACTCAGCATAGTTTCTGTAAAAGGAAACCCTGATCTTGTATGTATTATAAATGAAATAGGCTTGCCTACTACATGTCAGCACTCTTCAGTTATTCTGAGGCTTTCTTAAATTAGCATAAATCACTTCCACATTAGAACCTGGTACTGTAGAGGGAGACTTGGAAAGTTCATAACGCGGTAATGTTTAAAAAGTTTTGTTCATTCCACTTTTTCTGAACTTTAACAATGGATTTAACCTGATAAATACTACACCTAGGCACAAAAAGCCCCTTGCTGATAAATTTTTACAGGTCATTATTGTGGTATATGTTGCAAAATAGCAAAGTGACATTCCAGTGAAATAAAACACTTTGAAAGCAGACCCACAAATACTATTGTCATCACCTACATGTAATTAAAACCAAGTATAAAACTCCAGCTTCATAAAGTATGCAAATCATATCACTGCTTTTTTTCCATTCCTTAGAAGCTTAAGAAATCTCAGAATTATTTACTTTCTTCTGAAAGTTAATGAAGGAGATCTGCTGCTCCTCTCTTTAGTTATATGTGGAAAAGAGAAGTTTGTGCCTCACGTGCTCACCTTACTGATAAAAATTAATTAGCTGTAAGTATAGTTCTTTGCAAGGCAGGAAGCAACAATGCCATGTTTAAATTGAAAAAAAAAGCAACGTTTTCATTACTTCAAACACTTTGGCTTTACAATTTCAGGAGTCTTTTTCTGTTATATCCCTTTCAAGTAATTGAATTTCAACCTACCAGAAAGACTGCATTATTTGAGGTTGGTGATCTAGGGAAGCTTTGAGGCTAATCCAATGGTTTACCAATAGCAGCATATTTATAAATTCTAGCTTTCACGCTGTTCTTTTTAAACAGCAAATTAAATGGTTTTGATGCAATGTTGGGTGGCTGGAAAGACAGCTAAAACTCCATATTTTCTTTTTTCTATAAGGAAAGCTGCTTGTGAAATAAAAACCGAAAGATGGCTCTGTTGTTTTTCTTAGATCCATGAATTAACTTCTAATACTCTACTTGCTTGTGTAGCTTTTAGTCTCAGTTTTATTAACCATCTTTCACATGGTTATGTTGATTTTGAGTATTGTACTTCAAGAACAATTCAGACCAACATGAACGTAGTAGAAGTCTTTCAGATTTCTGATCAAATTCATGGAAGAACCAGGCTTATCCAGTCTAGAAAAAAACATGAAAAATGACAAGATTTCATATAGAGGAAAGAAAAATAATCTTCCAATGCTCAATGAGAAGAGTCACATTCAAAATTGCAAAGATAAGGAAAATCTTTCTGGTGGTTGGAGTAGATGAGCAGTGAAGCACATTGCTTACGGAGGCTGTAAAATCTCCACCACTGGAGATCTATGGGGACACTTCTGTAACTACCTAAACCATCCGTGACAGGTGAGGCTGCCTTGGTTCAGGGACATCAGCCACTCATTTCCCACAGTGCCTTGAAGCCCTGTTTTTGATGGCCTATAAAGACCTGCAAGAAAAAAAGGCACGAGAAGATTGAAATAAAAAAGCCATAATGGTTCTCTGCACAGACTTCATCTTCTTTAGCCTGTAGTGTTATTAAACTACATGCTAAATTAGTAGCTACTGCATCAGAAGTCATTAAAACAGTTTAATCTCATGTTTCTCAACTGGAAAATTACTGGTATTCCTACGTCTGTATGAACTTCTAGTCTAAGCAGACACGGAATACCCTAGAATACTGCTTCAAATCAGTATTTGCACTCATGCATCACTATCCTGCTGAAAAACAAGATAAATGACACAAGCACAACTTGATTTCACTTGATTATTGGTGAGTGAAACATTCCCACATTGTTTTAAGAAACAGCGCCACGGTTCTTTGGTATTTGGGGCATTTAGGCTCCCCTCCATAAGGTGCTCCAGGAAGATTAAGAAAGCTGGTGTCCTTAGTGGGAGCTGGCCAAGCTGGCCAGTGAGAAACATGACTGCTCTAGAGGAGTCACAGATGTAAATTCTCTTCTAACATTGAAGTCTTTTTTTTTTGTAAGAGATGCATTTGACATTGACAAACAGGACATGTATCCATGAAGTGAGACCTCCCCTCACACCCAGTCCCCCATATGACCTGGAACAGAGCTCCTCACCAGCAGTCAGGGACAGGTACTCATTTGGTGGTCTCTATGACCAACCAAAATTTTCAGTATTTTATACTGAATTAATAGTTCTAAAAAGATACACCAAGATAAGGTGCTTCAAAATATCCTGTAAGAAAGAAGCCTGGGACCTTATCATGATGATATCTGGCTGGCCTCTTGATGGAAGTGCAACCAAGTTTAATTTCCCTCATCTATTCAAAACTGGTGCCAGTGAAAGTGATAAGTTTTATCCATGTAACAAGCTTGATAGGGTCAGTATTATCTTATGCAACTACAAAAAACTCTACAGCCTAATTAAGGCATACATGCTTTCCAGACTCAGTTTATAGGAAGCTCCAAAGTCACATCTTATCAGTCATCTCAAATGGCCACTGATAATGAAAACCATAAACAGTGTGGGAAATAACATGATTAGCATTACATTAGGGAATCCAGAAGGGTTTACAGCAGAATTTAAAGCATTATTTGAACTTTCATTGCTTTTGCAAGATTGATTTTTCTGTTTCTCCAGCCCTAGCTTAAAGCTAAGGAGGGCTAAGGAGAACACTGACAATATAGACAATCTTTGCAGCAGACAGGCACTGTAGACCTTTCTTCAGAAATATGTGGATATTAAAAGTAAAGCTGCTATCCCAATTTGGAGCTGAAGAATCCCTGTTGCTCCCAAGAAGTTACTCTTCAAAGATGACATTAGGGAAAGAAAAGGACTGATTCTCCTTAAACTTCACGAATAAGAGCATTCTGTAATCACTGGGTTCATGACTATGAGAGGAAATAATGGTATCTATGATCTCTGCACAGCGTACAGACCAATGTGTTCAGAGAATGTCTGAGTACATCTGAGCATGAGAGGCTGGTAACAAATTAGTTTGTAAATCTTTCAGACGTTCACCACAGCTTTTGTTTTGATGCCTCTGCATCAAAACTCATTAGCAGGAATGTAAGCAACTTTATGCACACCTGAAAGTTAAGTAAAGATCCAGTGGTACTTTCACATCTGACTCTGTATAAAACTCACTCAGGGTCTCAGTTCCTTGGAATAGTGTTCTACCAGGTCCTGCAATGTCCAAACAAATCACTCTGATACTCTGTGTTCACTGATAAATTCCCTAAACCCATGGGCTAGATGTGTAAAGTGTAATACAGTTTCTAAAACTGTTAAGAAACAACCTCATTTAGTTATAAGAGTTTAACTGGAGCTGAGTTACTCTGGTGAAACTTGGTTAACATGCAGCAAATCAGAAAATGTGACCATCCAGAGGAAGTCTATGTTACAGATTATGTTCTTAATTTGCACTTGGTTCAGAGAGAAATCCCTTTCTTACTGCAAGCCACAATGCTGATGTTGGCAAAACTTCTGGTGGTCTTGAGGACTAAAAGCTGACCCAGCTTTTCTTAGAAAGCACATCTGACAGTATTATTGGCAGCTCTCCTTTTGGCTGAGGCCTTGGTCAATAATGCTGCTCCTACAGCTTGAAACTACAGCGCCACTGGCACTTATCCCAGGAAGCATGCCAGCTTCTGATGGGTACTGCCCACAGCAAAATGAGACTTCCCAGAAGAAGCAATGACTTGCTCATGTCCCAGAAGAAACAGGGATTAGTTTTTGACATGATGACATAAGTGAAGCATCTAGCTATTTTCAGTGGACACAGGAATGTGTGAGCTTGCTACTATATTGAAACAAACAGATGCATTTATATTTGCACTAAAAGTTTAAAAATGTCCCTCACACATCGGTGTAAGTGCTTCAGCTCACTGAAAATATGAAAAATATAAAATGGGTGAGCAGTTAGAAAACTTCCTAAAAACCAAAATAAATCAAAACAGACTTGTATTGAGACATACTTTACAATGGTATAGCATCTTCTAAGCACAGGATTCATAGTATCTAGAAGCAGAACAGCTGCAACGTGATCTGTAAGAGCAAAAATGAAAATAGAAAGCTAATGTTGGTTGAAACTTATGATAAAAATCTTCTTGTGCAGACACATGAGTCATCTACAAGCTTGCAACCTCTCTTGTGAAGACAGAGACAACATTTCTAATGAAATGAATTTATATCACTTAGCAAATATTAAATGTGCAATACATCTGTTACAGAAGTCAGTGCTATTTACCCAGTGTGATACGGGTGCACAAAAATACACCCAAAGACTTAAACCACCAATCTACAGGCAAGAAGATGCATAAATAAGGCAAAAACCTTTACTAGATGATGTCCAAATGGAACAAGAACTTCCACCTCCCAGAGTCATCTACCCAAGTGGTCCCTCTCTCTGGGAATATTTCTTAATGCTCAAGATATAAATAAACTGATCAATCCCCATCTGTCACGACAGATCATGGTTGCCAGGGGAACAATCTGAAAAGCAGAGCTTGACTAATGGTATCAGGTAACACAGCCCTTATCTGAAACAGGGAAGGTCAAACCTTGGGCTTTCATTAGGGATGAAGAAAACACACATGAAAAAAGGAACACGATTTTTCCCTGCTAGGTTAGGCAAATGAGTTCCACAGAGGTCTCTGCAGCTTTAATTTAACTTTAAGCAATGAAATCTGAGCTGACTCCATGTTTGACTCTGAGCATAGAAGCAAACATAGGTTAAAAAAATTATATAGGTTAAGCAATCATAACAGGTTTCCAGGCATTCTGTTAATCACTTCCTTGTCATAAGCATGTGGTGCACATACCACACACAGCATCCACCTATTACAGTAAAGCCAGAGGAACTCCATGGAGGTTACGACTCCTCTCTTCCTCAGATTTCATGTTGTGATGGTTGCTATCATTAGACCTACCCAATAGCAAATTCATGGGAGGGAAAAGAAAGTTACTCTTTTAGATAATGGGTCCATTAGACCCATGAGTAATCAGACTATTTTTGGTCCTGCAAGGAGCTCCCACTTCTGATGGAAACAGAGCATGTTTCTTCACACCTCTGCTGTCCCCAGGCACAGGATTTTGTACACAGGTCAGTGTGGAGTTCAGTCATTAACAGCACACTAAAAGCAACATTTTACTTCTGTTCTCCTGAGCAAACAACATGCTAATACCAAGTAAGGTTCTCACTCACACCTAAGGACCCAAAGCTAAAGGTAATCCTTTCTAAAGAATATCAAAGATCCACAGACACTTCCACACATAATTTCATTTTCAAACCTTCTTCTCCTTTGGCATTCCTTTCCTCCCTGACTAAAAGTATCTTAATTTCTTCAAGAATGCAGCTTTGGATGTTTCACTTCTGGTTTCCTTTCCCCTATTCTGTTTCAAATAAGTTTACTTTTACCCTGAATTGACAGGGCCAGTTTCTAATTTAACTTTCCATTAATGTCAAAGGGGCTAAAGATCTTAT